CGACAACCGGGACCTCAGTTAATTTCTTAATTTAAAAATTGAAAGTCAATACCTTGTAAAGTTGAGAAAATGGCTGTGGACCCTCCACGTAGACAGTGCAGACTACTCCGTTAACTGCTTACGCTCTACCTCATTAACTTTTAATAAATCGTTTACTTTCTACTCTTCAAACCCAAAGAAAAGAAAAAAGAAAGAAAAAAAAATCGTTTTAATGTGATTCATGACTCCACTCTCCTTGATTCTTAAGCTTTTCTTTTCGTTAGACAATCAGGACATCGACTTTTAGAATAATAATAGGTATCTTATTTATTTAATTATATTAAAATTGATCCATCGATGATTAATTTTTATTATTTTTCTATTTGTATATTTGTAGAGTATAATAGGTGAGAATAGATATTCAAATTAACAATCTTTTAATTGGAGACAGGTACCTAAACCAGTTGAATATGTTCCTGATTATTAATTAATAAAAATCAACCATTTTTCTTCCTATGTTTTCACATATTTTTTTAAACACGCATTTGAATTCCTAACAAAGTTTTTAAAACAAAAATGAGTTTTTGAAAACAATATATATTTTTTAGTTTTCAAGATGTGGGTTAGATTTTGAAAACGCTTTTAAAAGGTATACATTGCAAAACTAAAAAATAGTGATGGATTAAAGTTTTACAAATTTAATATTCAAAAACAAAAAAACAAAATGGTTATACACTATCGCTAAGGATTGATGTTATAAATTTTAGAATAGTGTTAAATATTTTTATTAATTAAAAATATTTTGTTTCAAGTTGTGAAGTTTCCTGGTAGATGTAAAAATAAAAAATTATAATTTTTATTTTCAAGATCAAGGGGTTATTTTGAAGTTTTTTTTTTTAATACAACATAGGGTAGAGATTCTAATTCATGACCTTTAACCAATTGAGACAGCAACTATTTCTGAATTGAGGTATGCAGTAACTCTCAAAATGTATTTTAATTTCCTAAAGTTAATAATAATGGGAGAATGTGATTTTGAATAATATGACAATAAAAAGTGTCATCTCTATTCGAGTTTTTACGAGTTGTATTGGATTAAGTGATTTTTAAATACTATTGTCAAACCCTAAATGATAATGTTTAATCATATTATTTAAATGACAGACTCAATAAACTATGTAATAAAGTAATATTATACAAATTGAATTTATTTGAGCTGTTGTGAGGGTTAATTGATTTGAAAACTTATTGAAAGAGAGTGAAATTAGTGAAACTTTAACCTTTCTTATATCTCTTTACCTAGATGTGAATTTGAAGCTCAATTGGTTAATGATCTTGCACCCTAAAAAATATATATTCATTTCTTTTACACATTAAATTAAGATAAAAAATTTTACCCTATAGAAACATTTAAAATAGCATAATTTTCATAGCTTTTCTTTTTTAGATATTGACTTTTTTTTTTCAATGTGAATTACGAAGCTTTTGTAAAATTTCAAACTTTCTATATTATTTAGAAATACATACTTATTATATATACTTTTTTTTTTACAAATTCTTTCACTAGAATTAAAAAGAGTAGTTGAGACTGAGGGTCATATTTTATAATTTTATTTAAAAAAAAACATTTTAAAGACCTGAGAAAATCATTCTCTGTAAATTAAAAGGCAATATGAATAAATAACTTTTATCATGACTATAAAAAATATTTTTACAATGAACAAATTAAACTAACGTCGTCTTTCACAATTCATTCAACGACACAAAAACAACATTTTTTTTTCTTTAAAAGGAACCGAACCCATAGAAGGGTGTGACTTTATTTGAAATCTGAACCAATAAAATATAAGTGTAGATTAGTTTAAGATGGGTTGAATATTTTAGCATTACCCACATAGTAATTGTCTAATAAACAGGAAATGAAATTATAAAGTAATACAAAAAAAAAAATGTTAATTTGTAGAAAAATTGGTATCCCAGCCACTTTAATTGACCTAATAAATGCAAAATTTATGGAATATTTTGAATTAGAAAAATGTCAGACACATGGAATTAATTGCATCAGCCATGAAATGCGTGGGTGGATTATAGCCCCATCAGAGGCAGTCGGCGCCAGCCATGCAGCTCTCACTTTTATTTATTTATTTTAATTCATTCAGAAAATAAATTAAATATATTTAAATTATCATTTGTCAAGAAAGGCCAACTTCTTCCCAACTTCAATCTCAGACGATTCCTCCAATGACAGCCCTACTTCAGCTCATCTACCAAAGCTTCTATTCTCTATGAAAACTTGGATAATATACTTTATTTAGTTAACTCAGATTAATATTTTACCATTAATTTTAAATTATAACTGTGATTAACAACTTTTAGAGTTTTGCATATGTACTTAGCTCACCTCCTTGAAAAGCTACTTTTAAATTTTTAAACTGATTGTTAAAGATAACGATTGTATGACATTGTTCATTTTGGGGCATAACCTTTGCGGCAACAAAAAACTTCATACTAAAATAGAGATAATTGTCATATTTTATATACCACAGATCATTCCCTTACTTAGCGTGGGATTTTGTTTATGTTCCTTACAATCCCAATACTATATTAAATCTATTTAATTGTGAACATACATTAAAAAGTTACTAGCGCTATATTATGTATCGTAAGTATCTCTCTGTAATTGTATGATATTACCCGCACTTTGTTTTTGGTTTGTTTTATACCAATGAAGACAATTATCATCTTCTTTATATCATAAATCACTTTCCATCCTAATCGGTGAGATTTTGTCTGCATTTACCAGCCAAGTTGTAAGAGACAAGAAATTGAGTGAACTTGGATTGGCTTAGGTTAATTAGTTTTGCTTGTTCCAACATATCGGGAAAAGTAAGGGTGTTGTTTCAAATTTGTGTGCGAGTGTATTAAATTTCATTATATTTTATTGGCTTTTGAGTTTTGCCAGTTGCTTTCTGTGTACCAAAGCTGTCCCCTCTCAAATTTCCGTGTTTTGACTTTAAATCTCTCTCTCTCTCTTTCTCCAATTTGCGTGTGTTGGCTTTTTTTATCGTTATCATCAACTTGGCATCGCAATTTGCGACCTTCTCTCCTCATTTAAAAACCCACTCTCAATTCCAATCCCAACAACGCCTTCAATTTCACCCAATTTCAAAACTAAACATTAGACATTACACATATCTCAATTTCCCTCTTCGTTTCAAGAATGAGAATGCAAGACGAGGGCTTTGAAGTTGAAGTTCCCTCCTATTTTCTGTGCCCAATTTCTCTCCAACTAATGAGAGATCCAGTTACAATCTCCACAGGCATCACCTACGACCGATCCGCCATTGAAAAATGGCTATTTTCATGCAACAAACAAACTTGCCCCATCACCAAACAGCCATTGTCCACCTCCGATTTAACCCCAAATCACACCCTTCGCCGATTGATCCAAGCTTGGTGCACCCTCCACGCCTCTCATGGAGTCGAACGAATTCCAACTCCCAAGACTCCAATTGACAAAACCCACATCGCCAAAATCCTCAAACAGGCCCAAAATTTCTCCCCCGATTCACTCCATAAATGCCTCATTACCCTCAAAGCCACCGCCTTGGAGAGCCAAAGAAACCGCAACCTTGTGGCGGAATCCGATGGAGTGTTTGACTTTCTCGCCGCCGTCGTCACAGGTGGTGCCAATCACAACATTGATTCCGTCGAATTAGCCGTTGAGATTCTTTTCCACCTCAAATCCTCCGAAACCCATCTCAAGAATCTAGTGAACGGCGACGGTAGCTTCATGAATTCTCTACTCCACGTCCTCCAACGTGGGAACTACCAATCTAGAGCCTACGCTGTAATGTTGCTCCAATCAACCTCCCAACTTGCCCATCCAATTCATTTGATGAGTATCGATAGAGAGGTTTTCAAGGAGATTGTGCGTGTAATACAAGATCAGATATCTCGCCAAGCCACTAAATCCGCGTTGAAGCTTTTGGCGGAGGTGTGTCCGTGGGGGCGGAACCGAATCAAGGCCGTGGACTGTGACGCGGTTGGGGTGCTAGTGGAGTTGCTTCTTAACTCGACTGAGCGGCGGTGGTCAGAGCTAGGGTTGGTGGTTTTGGATCAGCTATGCGGGCGCGCGGAGGGGAGGGAGAAGTTGTTGGGGCACGGGGCTGGGGTGGCGGTCGTGTCGAAGAAGATACTTAGGGTTTCGACATTGGCAAGCAACAGAGCGGTGAGGATATTGTCGTCGATATGTCGGTTTTCGGGAACGGGGAAGGTGGTTCAAGAGATGTTGGAGGTTGGGGTGGTGGCGAAGCTGTGTTTGGTGTTGCAAATGGATTGTAGTTTGAAGACAAGGGAGAAGGCGAGAGATATACTTAAACTGCATTTTAGGGTTTGGAGTAACTCTTCTTGTATTCCTCCTCATTTGTTGTCTGCTTATCCATCCTCGTGACGGTTCTTCATTATTTTTAATTTGCTACATTTTTTGTTTCTTACATGTAGAAAATTTGAAATATAGATGTGATTAATTTCGAGCAAAATTTGCTTGCAATTGAGATAGGTAATTGTATTCAAAATATTTGGCTATTGAGAAGAATTGGTATACGATTTTGGGTTAATGTTTGACTTTCAAGATAAATTTTGGTTACATTCAACTTTCTTTAATTCATTCATTGAACTAAAATATATAATTTGCTTGTGGCTAAAAATATTTTAGTTTGTATTCTCTCACTTAGTAACTCCTTTTATTAATTTTTTTTAGGTTACTTCTTATCAATCTAATATAAATAAATAAAACAACACACATATTCAATTATCACAGCATTATATTGAGCATTTTTTTGAAAGGTATATATAACATTGAGTTCATTGGTTCACACACAATCTAACAAAGATTATTTCAATTTGGTAAAATTTAAGCTCGTATTCACTAGAACAACAAATAGAGGTTACAAAAAAACCGATCAAACCAAAGAATTGAACCAAACTGAACCAAACCATTATTTTAAAAAATTGGACCTCTCGATTCCATAAATTACGAAACCGAAAGCGGTTTCTAGTTTAAAAAAAATAAAATAAAGAACCGAATTGAGGCCCAAGCCCAATTACATATCACTCGTAAGGCTATAATAGCCCAATATCACCCCACTCTATGCATCGTTTTATTAGCCAAGCGCAACCTAGTAGCCAACTTTAGTTTATTATTTCATAAAAAAAAAAAAGAGAAAAGAAACGATATTCATTTAAACTTTGAAAGCCTGGTTTCAGTTCTCCCACCACTAAGATAAAATAGGGCGGAGATTTAAATCTCTATCATCAATGAATTATATACTTTTATCATTCAACTATATTTATGTTGACAATTTTGATTACCAATTTAATTATATAATCATAAAGTGGAAAAAAAAAACAAACGTTAAAATGACAAAATAAAAAAAAAAATTTACAATTCGACAGTCAACATTGCCAAATTTACGTCCAATTATAATTGAATCATGTACCCCAAAGGCAGTCACTTTTGTAAAAAATGGCCATGGCCCAATTTGGACAACTGAGCCAAGTCTGTTGTCGGGCCTCCGCGACTTTTAACACGAGCCCACCAAGCCCAATATAGCAGCCCAGCTTTAAATCAACGAAGAAAGTACGGATCCAATTTGTCTAGAATAAGCCCATTTAATACCGAAAGGACGTTCGTGTGTTGGAACTTCAAAGAAGTGTACTCGGGACAAAGAAAAATAAAATTCTAAGGAAAAAAATAGAGAAGCAAATTAATTTGGCATTTAATACCGAAAAGTAATTATTAATACAACATTATAGAAAACAATTTATCATTGATTTGAACACGAGAGTTAGAAGTATGTTTATATTGACAACAATTTAATATTGATTGATTTTGATAGTAATAAATAATTTTTCAGTCGTGTAACAAACATTTATTTATATCATTAACTAGATATTAATTAACTTTTAATACGAGCATAGCTCGGCCCAAAGATGTGGATCTTGTCGAGGTCTCAATTTCATGGAAATATCGATAAAATGTCTATGTCGATGAATATTTCTGTAAAAGTTAGAAAAATAAAAAAAAATTGTAAAAAATATTTAAATTAATAAATAATTATTTTTCTATTTCTAAATTAGTAAAAAATAATTAATATTAATATTAACATTATGTATATATTGTTCATATTTTGTCGATTTTCTTGCACTATGATGGAAATGTCGATTTGTCTCTCATATGTCGATGTCGAACCCATGAAAACATAGATATGTCGCTGGAAATATCAGACATGTCAACAGATATATAGAGCCATGTAGAAGGCACATTAGCATGATGTACTTATCCTATTCGAACATAGTTTTGAAACCAAACTTCTCATTAGGAGGATAGATTAATTTAAGGTATTTTTCTTCTTTTCTAGGAGGTTTGTGGTTCAATCTCTTTATCACCAATTTTGTTGAAAAAAAAAGTATAAACAAATGTGTTAAGAGTCATAAGTTCGAATCATTGCTCAACTCATTTGTTGAACTCAAAAAGAAAAAAAAAACAAAGAACCATCCATTTACATTTTCTATTTCAAAAAAAATATTTAATTTAAATAATATTAGAGGCTTGCTTTTTCACAAATCTACAAATTTTAAAAAGATATTAATCTCTTATCTATTAAGCTATACTTTAATCAACCTGATTAAAATATCTTTTGTCTTCGGAAATGATTCGATCTTCCACCTCACATTTGTTAGAAGTTTGTGTTTGGTTTTGGTTGAGATATGAATTACGTTAGAGTGGCATAGTTTATGTTAGGAAGAAGGGAAAAGAAGGTCCCTCCATGTGAGGATGTAGAAGAGTAAGATGGCAAAGAAAAACAAAGATGGCCAAATTATTCAATGAATTTGTTCCAATGCCAATGCCAATCCGTCACCTCAGCAAATTCAACCCTCGACTCGACTTCACACCCAATGCCCAATAACCCCTTTTCATTTTTCTCTCTCTTTGGCGCTTCATTATTATTAGATCTGTTCCAACGTATTATCACTCCATAATTACATTATTATCCCTTTAATTCATTATTAACAATAACACCCCCACCCCCTATTCCCTACTAATAATACTCTCTATCGGTCTTCCTCTCGCCAAAACTCCTACCCCATAGGCCTACCAACCTCTCGTTTTAATGAGATATTATCAAGTATCATTAGTCGCAGGAAACACAAGACTTTCTGTTCCGATACCATATTAAATTATAGTAAATTTAATCTTTTTACCAATACACCTTAACAAATAATTGTCCTAAAATTTATCATGCTGTATTTATTTCTGTTATGTTTATAATTTGTTGCTAAGAGTGATATCAAAGTCACATGAGTAAAGATGATATTGATTTTATTGTTAATTATTTAGACCTAAAGTGGATTATACTAAGATAAGACTAAAGAGCTAATTTATTGATGAGGTGGGAGCGAATTCTCACTTCAATTCCAGTTCAATGCCCAATTTTTAAGACTTATTTTTATTTAAGAAATACGAAATTCTAAAGATAAGTCCTATTCAATATCATTCTTTTAAAATCATATTTTCATATTTGCTAAAAATATCAAAAGGAGAAAGTGAATGGAGGATGGCCCACTTTAATTCTATTGTGTGGTGGTCTGCCATATGGCATGTTGTCTTGGCAAATGATATTTGAGTTGTCTGAAAATGTTGATACCCTCAAAATGGTGGTGGTGAAAAATATTGTTAAGACTAAGAGTGTATTATTTGAAATATGAATTAATTGTATAAATTATCGTTGATATCATTTTTTTCCACCTTGATAATTAATAATAACTCTTTAAATCGTCGATCAAGTTCGAAAGTAATTGACATATACTCAAGCGAGCATTTCCACCCCCACATGTTATACTAAAAAAATTTCACAATTATAATATATATGTAGAAGTGGGAGATTGAACTCTCACCCACTTAACTGGAGATATATACTAATTACCTTTAATTATGCTCGCTTTGGCCACAAACTATATAGTTAACTGTACATCATCTATAAAAATATTATAAATAGTGATACCAGACTTCATATGTATCAAATTTACTTAACTTTCTAAATTGCTGGTTCAAATCTAACTTAACAACAACTTTTCACATATGATAATTATTGTGTGGCTTGAACCCTAAAATTAGCTTCAACAAGTTAAATGCTACACACATATTTGTGCAATATTTTATTAAATTACCGTGCAGCACCTTTATAATGGTCATCATTAACATCTAAGTAAGATGAAATTCAAATTACTTGTTAATAATTCAATTAAAAAAGCTAAACAAAAAAACCTCACATTTTTCATTAAAGTGATAACCCGTATGATTTCATAATGATGATCATATGAGAGTGTTGCTTTTAGCATGGACACGTGCATGGTTCCATATCATATATAATATATGCATGTCAGATACTCTAGATTATTTATTTATTTATTTTTTCCTGTATAACTTCTTTTCTTTATAAGCACCACAAAATAAGTCGATAATTAAAAAAAAACGAGAAGAAAAGATACAAATTCACTAAATGATTTGGCACACTAATTGTTCTTCCCAATCCTACGCTTATTTCTGGAGATGTGGTGTGTGAAGATTTATACATAATACAAATTAAGTTCCATATAAATATCAAGTAAGCAATTAAAGTATACATAAATACAGATTTATATGTTCCTATACTGACATTGTATTTGTTTATAGTTGGAGTTTGGAGCGAGCCACATTTTCCTCGGATGGCTCTTGTTTCAATCTGCAGCATCAGGCAACAAAATCAGGCAATAATTGGGCGGCGAACCTTTTGGTGGTTTGCATTTCGACGCCGTCGTAGGCGGTGGAGGGTGGAGGCGGCGGGATGTCGGTGAAGTCGGCTCCGACACTATTTCCCAATTCTACCGGCCTTAGGTTTGGGTTGGAGAGGTAGTTGTGTTGGGTTGCTGAAAGAGAGAGGTTATCGGAATGTGAATGTGGGAGGCCAAGAGTGAGAGAGACGCCATTGCCATGAAATCTTGGGGTCAACATCTCAGGATTGAACCTTGATCCAATTTCGGCAATTGGGTAGGCGCCAAATCCAGGGGCATGGCCGGAGCTAGTGTGGAGAAGGTGTTTGGTGTCGTTAATTTGGTCTCTTAAAAGCATGGTTTTTGTGGAGGGAGCTGATTCAAAATCAAGGTTGTTGTTGTTGTTTGTTCTTGGCTTCTTGGGACTTCCCAGAATGTCGGAGGAGGATGGTCGGATCAGGCTGAATGATCCCAACATTGAGGATGATGATGAGTTGTTATTGGACATGTGATGATCCGTGAGAGAATGATTGTTGATGAAATTTTCTGTCTTGGATTGTGGGTCGTTCATCAATTTAAAGTTTGCTGCTTCTGCATTGTTATGATTCTGATGATCTCCTCCTCCTCCTCCATGTTGCATCTTGTTGTGTTCGTTCTTGTTGTTTCTGTTCATGTCTTGGGATTCTCCATTTTGTTCTTGATCTTTGATTTCCTCCAAGTACATTTCCTCAACCATTGGCTTCCATAGGCGAACTCTCGCATTTATAAACCAGTTCGAAACCTGTCAATCGTATCACTGTTAAATCACCACTATGATTAAAAGCTTAATTGTATATATTAGCTTATTAAGACTCTCTAAGCTCCCTCACTGGGATAGAGAAATGTAGAGATGGAGAGAAATAAGAGTTTTTTTTTTTTTTCAAATGAAATAAATAGCTACAATAAAAGTTTAGGAGTAGATAACAAGAAATTTCTTGCTACCTAATAAGTAGGAGTATTGTCTCTTGAAGATTAGCAAAAACTTCAACAAGTAGCTATCAAAATTAATAGTCTTTGTGGGAGAAAAAAGGGGTTTGAACACAGGAATCATCCTCTAAAAAAAGTCTCAAAAACTTAGGTTTATAAGTTATCTTAATAGAAATATATTAAGGTAGATGAGATTACCATATTTACCAAAATGCAATATTCATTAGTGCTGCTTTTACACTTTTTTTTCCCTCACCTCAGCAATTGTCACTAAGCTTAAAACTTTGTTGGTAATTAAAAGGGTTGAGGTTATAGGTTATCTTTCAACAATTAACAAACCGAGTTTGATCAAGTTCATAAAATGAAAAAAGCAACAAATTATTATTTTATTAAAAAAAAAAAGAAAAAAAACCCATTTCTCTCCTCAGTCTTCAAAAGCATGACAAAAACCGAAACAAATAAAAACAATGGACATACATACTTGGCTCCTTGTGAGTCCCGTTTGCTTGGCGAGAATAATCTTGTCTGAATCCTTGGGATATCTAAAAAAATGGTTGCCAAAATTGTTAACTTTTCACCAAAAAGAAAAAGGAAAAAAGAAAAATTCAAAATTTGATTGTTGTTGTTGTTTGTACTTACGGGTGAAGGAAATGCTCAAAAAGCCAAGCACGAAGAACAGAAACGGCACGTTCAGGCAATCCCCTCTGCGGCCTCCAAGTATTATGCTGAATCATTCCCAACTGCTGTAGGGCTCTCTGCTGCCGTAGATGATGGTCCACGTATCGCAATCTGGACCCTTGGATCTTGGCCCCGAGCCAGTCCTCCTCCCCAAGGCTCTTCCCGGTGGCTCTTATTTGGGAACATATTGCATCTTTGAGGCACCGGAATTGCTTAGAGATTGTCTGTAGCGCGAGCGAGGCGTACGACTTGGCCGACCCCAGCCCTGCCGCCTGCTCGAACGACCGAACCACTCCCTGCATTTGTTGCTCGTACTCTCTGTACTTCTGCTCCACCTTAATTATTCACCCAAATTCTCACTCATTATATAAATTAATTATTTTACATAAATCAAATTTAATTAACTAATTAATTACTCCACAAAGTAAATCAATTGGATAAGTTCCAAACGCCACAGAACCAGATATTTTTAAATTTGGTTTCTTTTGTTCATCAACCGGAGAATTGGAGATGCATTATTGGACATGGCAATTTATTTATTCAGTTCTCCTCTATACATGCATGGCTAAACTCAAAATACTGCAATTAGTTCATGGAAATTAAAATCAATCAATTGAATGGGTTACAAAGAACTCTGTTTTTTTTTTCCTGAAATCGAAGAACAAAATTTGAATAACTTTTTATGTTATGAATATGGGAAAACTAGAAATGATGAAAAGTTT